ACACCCAGGGTGATCCAGACAGTGCCCCACACAGCCCTCTCATTGTAAGTTTCTCCCTCTCATTCAAAGGGACCATATGTACACAATGGGCATTTACACCTTATTCTAATAATACCTACTGGTTAGTGAACACTATTTTGTGTCAGGCATTTCACAAATATTTTCTCATTTAGTCTTCATAGTAATGTTGCTAGGTAGGTATTATTACCCCCATTTTACAGATGAGAAAATGAGAGGTCACTGATATGGTTTGGCTGTGTCCCCACCCAAATCTCATCTTGAATTATGGTTCCCATGATCCCTACATGTGGTGGGAGGGACCCAGTAGGAGGTAATTTAATCATGGGAGTGGTTACCTCCATTTACCTCCATGCTGTTCTCGTGATACAGAGTGAGTTCTCATGAGATCTGATGGTTTTATAAGGGGCTTTCCCCCTTTTGGTTGGCATTTCTCCTTCCTGCCACCATGTGAAGGATGTGTTTGCTTTCTCTTCTGCCATGATTGTAAGTTTCCTGAGGCCTCCCCAGCCATGCTGAGCTGTGAGTCAATTAAACCTCTTTCCTTTATAACATACCCAGTCTTGGGTATGACTTTATCAGCAGTGTGAGAACAGGCTAATACAGTTACTGAATTTGCTTATGGTCACACAGAGTTCTGATCTGTCCTAGGCTTGTCTGACCCTATAGACAGTGCTCCTTCCACCAACCACACATTCTGCCTCTAACTAGCTCTGTAGCCTTGGGCAAGTCTTCTCTTGGGCCTCAATGTTTGTGTTCTCAAATGTGGGAAGCTGAGCGATGTTGTTTAGAAAGTTTTCCACCTGTGGGTCTGTGAACAGGTGACTTCATTCCTTTGCAGGCTATAGCTTCATTTTGCTTTTGAAAGTTGAAATAACAACACCCTTTACTAAGAGTAGCTGAAAATCTTTTCTGGTCCCTCAGTGTGGTGATACTTTGAGGCACTCTGCTAAGTCCCAGCTTTGCTACCTTTTATATAGTAAAGAGTAGCCCAGTTTTTAATCTTAGCCCTGGCCTCAGCAGGGCTCCCCCCACCGTCCTTGCTGCCCTGGTTGTAGGTCTTTGCAAAGGTTCCAAATTCTTTTCCATTTGTTCTGTGCAATAGTAAAAGTAACAGACCCCTTCCAGGAGTCTGTGCTCAGGGCAGCACGCTGACGTGGCTTCGCTGTGCTCTGAGAGCTGGTTTCTTCAGAGAGCCTCTCTGGCACCGGCGAACATGTTTCCTTTTCAAGCTGAGGTGGTGAGGAGAGAAGATGGAAGAGAGGCAGCTTTTGGAAGGTGAAAAGGAAGAACCCTGGGAAGACAGCGGTGTTCAAAGTGGGGCCAGGAGTCTTAATTCACTTGTTGCCCAACTGAGGAGCTAGGGGCAGTTCAGATTCTTAGCACTAGAAAGGACCCTAGTGATAATTAAATGCATAGTTTCAGGTTTTTCTAGCTGCAGAATCCAGTGTGTAAAACAGAAAAGTTCCATTCTGGTTAAATCCAGAGGAGTGGGGTGGCAGTTGTCTTCTCCCTTCTCCCCCAACCTGTCCTGGCCACCTAACAGGTGGTCTCCAGGGCTTCCACAGAGCACAGTTGGAAATGATTCTAATCTAACCACAACTCCTCCAATTTTCCACCCAGAGTCCTATAAAGGGAGCCATTTACCAAGCTTAATCACTGGTGGCAGCCCTGGAGCTCACATTCAGAACACAACCGCTGACTCAGTAAGCCAATAAGGTGGTTAGGAAAAGGGTCGAAGGTTGTGCTGGCCCAGGCAAGATAATGAAAAAGCATGTGCAGTTATGTCAACATCAACCTTTTTGCTTGGGTAGCCCTGAGAGCAGGCCACACTGAGAGCAAGGCAATTTGTGATGCCACTGCTTTGCCAGCTTTTGAACCTCTGAATCCATCCTCTCACCATGGCTTCCTACTCTCCCCATGCCTCACACCTTCACCTTACTGTATCTGCCAAGAAGCCTCAGCCAGTGCTCTTGCTCTTGTTTCTTGGTTTCCCCATTTTCTCTAAATCTATAGCTGTCTCCTAGTTCATTTCTTTTCATATCACCCCAAACTCTGGGACCCATCTCCAACTAATCTCTAACTAATGTTCCCCAACTCTGTCACCCTCAGACAGTGACTATCTATATGCTGATAACTCAAGCCCTGCCCTTTCTCCCAAGTTTCTTTTCTCTTCTCTTTTCTTTTCTTTTCTTTCTTTCTTTTTTTTTTTTTTTTTTTTTTTTTTTTTGAGACAGGGTCTTGCTCTGTCACCCAGGCTGGAGAGCAGTGGCATGATCATAGCTCACTGCAGCTTCAACCTCCGGGGCTCAAGCAATCTTCCTGCCTTAACCTCCAGAGTAGCTGGGATCACAGGCACACACCATCAAACCCAGCTAAATTTTGAATTTTTTTGTAGAGACAGGGTCTCACCATGTTGCCCAAGCTGGTCTCAAACTCCTGGGTTTAGGCAGTCCTCCCACCTCAGTCTCCCACACCTGGCCCTTTTCTCCTACGTTTCTAATCTAAATCATAACCAAATGCTGAGTGGGACCGGCCAATAGGGGAAAAAACAGGCCAGTATTCTCCAAGCCCAAAGAGGGAGGACACTAATCAAGCACAGTATATGTTTCTCAAGCCTGACTGCACATCAGAATCACTTAGAGAACTTTTACACCACTAAGAAGGCTGAGCTCCACCACAGAGCAATAAAGCCAGAGTCCATAGGGGTGGAGACCAAGCTCTGTACTTTGAAAATAAACTTTCCATTTTAATTATAATATGCATCAGATAATTACATTAAAACCTTGGCAAATTTTCACAACGTGAATATCCACATGTAACTACCATCTAGATCAAGAAGGAAAAAAAAAAAGAAAGAAAAAAAAAAGCTCTACCAGCAGCACAAAGCCCTCCTCAAGTTCCTTTAGGTCTTCTCCTTCCTCCCCAGGATAGTAACACTCTCCTGATTTCTAACACCACACATTTGTTTTGCCTCTTTTTGATATTTTTAGAAATGCAGCCATAGAGTATGTACTCTTTGTGTCTGACTTCTTTGATTCACTATTTTATTTTTAAGATTCATTCATGGGTCTGGCACAGTGGCTCATGCCTGCAATCCCAGCACTTTGGGAGGCTGAGGCGGGCAGATCACCTGAGGTCAGGAGTTCAAGACCAGCCTGGTCAACATGGCAAAACCCCATCTCTACTAAAAATACAAAAATTGGCTGGGCATGATGGCATGCACCTGTAATCCCAGCTACTCAGGAGGCAGAGGCAGGAGAATCGCTTGAACCCAGGAGGCGGATGTTGCAGTGGGCAAAGATTGTGTCACTGCACTCCAGCCTGGGCAATAGAGCGAGACTCTGTCAAAAAAAAAAAAAAAAAAAAAAGTTCATTCATGTTGTTCTGGGTCGCTGTTGTTCATTTCTTGTCATTGCTGTACAGTATTCCGTTGTCTGCTTGCTATGGTCTGAATGTTTGTGTCCCACCCAAATTTCATACTTTGAAATCTAATCTCCAATAGTATTAAGTGGTGGGGGCTTTAGGAAGAGAATGGGTTATAAAGGCTCTCCCCCAATAAATGGAATTAGTACCCTCATAAAAGAGGCTTGAAAAATCCTATTTGTCCCTTTTGCCATGTGAGGACACAGCAATAGGGTGCCATCTATGATGAACAGACCCTTTCCAGACACCAAGTCTGTTGACGCTTACATCTTAGACTGCCTAGCCTCTAGAACCATGAGCCATAAATTCTGTTGTTTGTGAATTACCCAGTTAAGGTATTCAGCAGCCTGAACAGATTAAGACACTGACTATGCATACATGGCATATAACTATTCTATCAATACACATGGATTGTTTGCATTTTTTAGATCTTACAAATAATGTGTGTATGTGTATTTTTGTTTTGTTTTTGTTTTTGTTTTGGACATAGGATCTCTCTGTTGCCCGTACTGGAGTGCTGCGACACAGTCATAGCTCATTGCAACTTTGAACTTCTAGGCTCAAGGGATCCTACCACCTCAGCCTCCCAAGTAGCTAGGACTACAGGTGCACACCACCACATCCAGCTAATTAAAAAAAACGTGTGTGTGTGTGTCGAGATGGGGGTCTCACTATGATGCCCAGGCTAGTCTCAAACTCCTGGCCTGAAGCAATACTCCCGTCTTGGCCTCCCAAGGTGCTGGGATTACAGGCATGAACTAGGGCACTTGGCCAAACAGTGCGGTTTTTGAACATACCTATACATTTGTCTTGACACAGGCACGTATGTGTTTCTGTTTACTATATATACCTAGGAGTGGAATTGCTAAGATAGGCAAATGTTTAGTCTTAAAGGATAACACCAGTTTCTAAAATAGTTGTACCACAATGGAATTCTGCAAAAGCTTCCCAGGTGATTTTAATGGGTGTCAAGAGTTGAGAATCCTGTCCAAGACTTACTAAGGGGTGGCAAAACCAGCCCCATTTTCAACCCTTACTTTGAAACATTTCCCACTATTATCAAAAGACTGGGGATGGGAACAAGGAAGGGCATCACTAGGGAGAGGTTTGTTCTCTGCCTTGTTGGGGATAAGTGTACTGGGATTTCTATCTCTCTGCACATTGATCTCCCTTCCTTGGAACACCCCTCTTCCACTGTGTCTATGGGTGAATTCTTGGGCATTTTTCAAGGTGCAACTCAGTGTCCCCCTTTCAGAAAGTCCTTCCCTACCTTATAGGCAGAATCACCTCACCCCCAGCAAAGCGACCAGTCCACTGTGAGGTTCATTATTCCAGTGTATCCCATCCCATGGGGTCTTCACTTTGTGTGTGCATCCTCGTTTAGACCACAGCTACCTAAACATAAGCAGGGCCGTGTCCTATGTCTTTTATTCTTCAAACTTAGCACAGTCCCTCTATAAAAAGTGCTCAATAAATGCTTATTGTGATAGAAAATTCTTAATGTGACTAAAATATGAATTAATAAATGCTTAAGATTACCAGCTGTGAAGAAAGGATTGAGTCTCGTTCTGATTATGTAGTATACAACAGATCATCCCAAATGCGGTTTTATACAACAATGGATTATCATCCTCACCAGCCTGTGGGCTGACTGGGTTCCGTTCCTATGTGGTTCCTGACTGGGGTCTGGTTACAGTTAACTGGAGGCCGGGATGGGATCATCTGAAGACTCAGCTGGGCTGGGGGTGAAAGATGGCCTCTTCCCCCACATGCATGGGTCACGGGAACAATGGCTGGAAGAACTGGGGCCTGGATAGGTGGCCTTCTCCATGTGACTCATTTAAGAGTCCTCACACCATGAGAGTCTCAGACTTCTTACACGACAGTGGTTTTCCTCAAACAAGCCTTCCCGAAGACCCAGGCCACACTGCAAGGCTTCCTACGACCTGCTCAGAAGTCACACAGCACCACTTCTGCAGCATGCTGGTGGCCAAAAGCAAGTCACAGAGCAGGGCAGATTCAGGAGGAGGAGACTTCACAAGGACACAGACCTAGGTCCAGTGAGAAACTGACATCAGGAAAGACAAGTGAAACTTCATTACTCTAAGCATTACCGAAAGCAACACAGGGCAAAAATAAAAACATAAAATACATACATTTAAATAAAATACCTTAAAATATGTTACTAGGGCTTAGGGCCTCAGCTGTGTATCATATGCCACATACTCTCAGGATAAACCGAGAACACTTTAGGGCAAACAAACATTTGTGAGTCTCTACAGAAGGCAAGAAGCACAGAGTTTTAGAGAATGGCCCAAATCACGCCAGGGAACCCATAGGAAGCATTGCTTGTTGATGAGGCGGCACTTTCAGCATTTGTGTAGAGTCGTATGCAGGTTTTGCTTCAGATCCCGCTTCTTGACATTTGGACAGCTACCGGCACTGAATGAAAGGTACTGGGAGTCAAAAGACAGGCCAGGAAAACAACAACTCACAGGTGAGAATGTTCGACACAGTTGTTTATAGCAAACGAGAGAGAACCTCAGTGTCCAACAGTAGAGGACTTGTTACAAGCTGTTATGCTCTTATACAGTGGAAAATTATGCATTTGATACTGCTTAATGAATTTTAATGGCAAAGTGTACAACCAACCATTAGGTGAAAAAGGAGTCAATATACAAAAGTTTGCATGAAATCTTCCAATTATGTTCAAATACGTACATGCATAGAGAAAAGGCTAAAAGGTAATATATCTTAATTTCAACAGTAGATACGTCTGTCCACATAGCAGAATTATTAAAATGTTTTAACGTGTTTTACTTTGTGCTTTTTGTATTATACAAGTTCCACACAGTGAGCACATATAATTTTCATAATCAGAAAATAAAATTAGGAGTGAGATGAAGCTCCAGGGGGAAGTTGGAGCTGCGTCATGGCCCCAAGGTGCCCCCAAAAGGCTTTTATCCTGGAGCTGCTAGGGATCAATATATTATCTCTTGTAGATATGAGGCCTTATCAGCTCTTACCTTAGATCAATACTGAGTGCTCTCATGTAAGTTTCCTAACTTCTCCAGACTCTGGTTATCTACTCCATCAAACTGGGGAGCTGGACAGTAGGATTAAATCTTTAGAACTTCAGAATTTACAAGCACTTTCTCTTATCCTATTCCTCTTCACAATAGCCGGATGGCAGAATCAAGGCAAGTCTTATCACTGTTTGGCCTATAGGAAAACAAGCTCAGCAAAGTCAGGTCGGTAACCCCGGGTCACACAGATGTTAGGCAGCGGTGAGCATTCAAAACCAGGTCTTTGGGCTTTACTCCAGGGGATCTGACTGGCAAATCAGGGTTCCTTTCCTAGATCAACTGTAAACTCCCATCCTGTCATAAAACTCCAGCCAAGATTTCTGCCTTCTGAGGTCACATATCCTCGGACTAATCTCTCTCTCTTGTTTCCGTATTCCAAGGATCTTAAAGGCAGCTCTGATGTCTCCTTTGAGTCATCTCCAGTTCTGTCTGCTCCTGCTCAAATGACACTGTGTGGGGGCCACACACCATTTTAGAATCCCAGAGTAAGAATTGGAAAAGATCTTTAAAGGTCATCTGTCCTAAGAAGTCCCTGTCAGTCTTTTACAGAAAGTCTCTCATCTGAAAAAGTCCCTTGACAATGCTCCTAAGGGGGTCCTTGGGCCCAGGGCCCGGGTAATAAAGTGCCCTTCCCTCTACCGCGCTGGGGACATACACCAGGTGACCTTAATTCAAAGAGGGAATGTTTGGGGCTGCAAAGTTGGAGGCCGAGTGACTCAGGCCTTTTCACAGGGACGTTGTGCACAATGGAAAGATCTGAAAGTTCCAAAGGGAAAGAAAACCAGAAAGGCCAAGACAACTCACACACACAGAAAGCCAGCTTAGAACAAATCCAGAGGGCCAAGAAGAAACCTGTGGAAAAAATCTCTCCTAAGAGGGCTCTATTGTGTGTACTCTGGGTCAAAAGAGCCTGGCTCTGCAGAGAGGCTCTCCCACCTGCTGAGATTCTCCAGAGGAATCCTTTTGCTTCCGTCTGAGTTCAGCGAACTTCCTGCTTCCTCTACCCAGCGCAGCGAGGCCCTCTCTGTACTGATCAGCAAGGGTGACAGGGCTTGGCAGCCGTGGTGGCAGCTTGCTGGGGCACTGGCACGAAGTGACTTAGTAAATACCGCAGCTTTGATAATTTCTTGCTTCACTGGTCTCTTGGGATTCTTTCCATCTGCATTAACAAAAAAAAAAAAGTTGGACCTCCCTCTGCCCACAAAGTCAGATGCTTTTATTTTGTGTAGGACTTAAAGAAATAGGTATCTACTTCTATACCACTTCATCGAGTAATATATACTTTTTAATAGGGGGTAAGCAAAACTTTTAAGTACCCCTTCTCCGAACCTCAGTGAAAGCTTTGTTAATGTAGACATTTACAAAGTAAAACTTTATTCAGTTTGAAATGGAAACACTTAATTAGAATCCCAAATGACTTGTATGCATGAAAACTATTATACATTAAAAAAATCCTACAATGGTTTTTTTCCTCCAAATGAAATTCTTTTGTGTTAATAAATATTTCTTCATTTATGTCCAGTCTTAGGGAGCTCACAAAGAGATCTCCTGAGGTTACATCTCTTTGTTTCCAAGATTTAATGAGAGAATTTTATATAAGTCAAAGAAAGGAATTCTCGTTAGATTTATATATCAAAGTAAACCACAGACCTCAGGGGTTACTTCACCCAACTTGGCCACCCCAGCCCATCTGATGTCAGAGTCTTTCTAATGCTGTCTTGAGTCAACTGCGTGCCAGGATAGTGCCTGCTGGAAACTGGATGGAATTCTCATTTAATTATCACAACAGCCCTATGAGAGACGTGAAATCTCTGTTTTCAAATCATGAAACTAAGTTAAGAGAGCTCAAGAAATTTGTCTGCATTCACAAAGCTAAATAGGACAGTGGGACAGAAGGACTCCTAAGCCCAGGGACTTTTTAAATATTAGAACTTCTCCTTCCCATGGTCATCTAGTCACTGCTCAAACCCTCCCTACACACTGCTTTCCAGTTGGAGGCAGTTTTTGTTATTTTATAGTGTTCTTCCCTGTCCTGAGCCTTCTTGTAAAGTCCACCTGTAAGTCCAACCACAAGCCTGATTTTATCCCTCAGGCAGGAGCCAGATCTAGAGGGCATGCTAGGAGGAGCAGGCTAATAACCACATACTAGGAATGTGTTGTTTGCAAGCTCCAGGTCAGAAGAAGTTGAGGCTGGCATACAAGGAAGTGCCATTCTAGGGCTGTGTCAGGCCAAGCCCACAGCTTCTGTGCTGTGGATAAGGATAAGGGATGCTGAGTTTTAGGAAGTATAAGGGCTGGCTGATACACCAGGGGAAAGCAGACAGTGACCCACAACCCCCACACCACAGGCTCAGTTCACAGGAAGACAGCTCAGGAAGGAGACACAGGTTCTGATAAGACATAAGCTCCAGATCCCACCCTGCATTTTTTTTGCAAGCCATTTCCTGGTTCATGGATGGCAGTGACCTGGAAATGTGGACCAAAGAGGTCATGATTCTAGAAATGCTGCCATGCCTCACTAAATTCCCCAGCCAGTTACACCCTCTGCCTCCACAGTCCTTTGTATAGACTCCTTTACCACATAGTCTCATCATGAGCTGTTTTAATTAGCAGTCTCTCCTTTAGCCTATGCCCTTGTAGTTCAGGAGTTGGCAAACTATAACCCACAGGCAAAATCCATCCCACTGCCTGCTTTTGTAAGTCAAGTTTTATTGGAACACAGCCATGCACATTCATTTTTATATTGGCTATGACTGCATTCTCTACAGCTTCAGAGTTGGGTAGTTGTAATAGGAACCACAAAGCCTAAACTGCTTCTCACTTGTCCCTTTATAGAAAAAGCTTGCCAACACCTGTTCTTGAGAGCAAGGACAAAGTTCTGTTCATCTTGTATTCCAACTAGGGTCTTGTATCTCCAACGTTATAGCCATTCTTTTAAAATCTGTAAAATAGCAGTGATATCTCTGTCACAGAGATACAGTGAAATATAAAAGAGATCTTAATATATTTGGAGACAGGATATGTAAAATGCCTAGCACAGTTCCTGGCATAGGACAAATACTCAATAAGTATTTAGTGAATGAAGCAGGTCCATCCACTCCAAACGAAATGATGCATGTGAGAGCATTTTGGAAACCACAAAGCTCTGTGATGCCACGGTGGGTTACTATCATTGTCAAATACAGGAATGTTCTGGAGCAAAGCCTGCTCTCCCCTCTGGCTTTCTCGACCCTGATCTTTCGGGTAAAATCTCACATACAGTCTTAATTTAAGTGAATTCATAATCCAATTTTTACATGGATCCTATTCATCCCTCTCTCTTACCCTCTCCCTCTAGGTACTGGTCCTTGGGTTAAATCTTGAGTTCCTTATACAAGAGCTACCAAACAGTGACTGCTCTGGTGGTTTTGTACTGAGTCAGCCTACCTAAGCCCAAAGGACATTTCCCAGATTTTTCCTTCTTTCTATGGCCCTCGTTATGATTGGCCACAAGAGATTTGGAAAGCAGAGCAACCATCACAACACTTGAAGGTTGGTGCAGGGTTACAGGTGCCACCACAGCTCATGCACACAAACAGATATCAGCATTTATCTACTTGCTTACCTCCTTAGCATGGAGCAGCAGTCAGCTCTGCAGCTCCCCAGCTCCTGCTGAGTTTTGGTTCAGGTGTGTGTGCACCCCTATGGCACGTACCTTGTCTTCTTTTTTTTTTGAGACGGAGTCTCGCTCTGTCGCCCAGGCTGGAGTGCAGTGACCGGATCTCAGCTCACTGCAAGCTCTGCCTCCCGGGTTCCTGCCATTCTCCTGCCTCAGCCTCCTGAGTAGCGGGGACTACAGGTGCCCGCCACCTCGCCCGGCTAAGTTTTTGTATTTTTAGTAGATAAGGGGTTTCACTGTGTTAGCCAGGATTGTGTCGATCTCCTGACCTCGTGATCCACCCACCTCGGCCTCCCAAAGTGTTGGGATTACAGGCGTGAGCCGCGGCATCTGGCTGGCACATGCCTTTTCTACAGGGTTAGTTGTGGTGAAAGACAGGGACAGGTTCCAGGTTGCCGTTGCTCTCTCCTGTATCAGGTCCAGCTTATCTTCCTGCGTCCTTCTCCCACTATTGTGAGAAGTCTAATTCCTATGAGAAATTATTTCATATCACTAAGAGTGACTCTGCCTCCCTGATGAAACTATGAGCAAGAAAACCTAAAGGATAAGTTATCTGAATTGGTTCTGGAATTGGCTCTCTGATCTGATTATATTTAAAAGTATTAATGACTTGGATGCCAGTAGTAAAGGGGACCTGGTGGTAACAAAAGAGTTAATTACATTCTCACCAATGAATACCTGTAATTAAGTGCCTATAGAAGGCAGGGCTTTGGATAACCAAGTAGTTGCTTCCATAAAGTATTTCAGCAAAAATAAGGAAGATACAGATGTTGGTAGTTAGCTTCTAGGTTACTGAAGAACTTGGAGAAAAAAATTATGACTTTAAGTTCCCAATGCAAAGACTAACTAAGGGAAATCTTTAGTTCCTGTGGCTATAGGACCAAGATTTCTGAAAATAAACACAAGGTCTAATTTTGGGCAGAATTATGCAGACTGAAATCACAACCGCACAGAGTATCTTATGGTAAAATTAGCACATTGATTAGGAAGAAATGTGGTCCTGAGGATTGGGGTAGAGATATATGGGCAGATTCAGATGAAGCTGGGAGCTAGAACTTGAATTTTGCTGAGCCTTTTTTGCCAGTAGAAGCAGCACTTTCTTCCTAGCTAATGAGTTCGCCTTGCCTAAAGAAACTACAATAGCCTTTCACTGAGCCTGGACCAGAACAAATGACTAGAGGTGCCTTGTAAGAAACTACTGATTCTCCTTAAGACCTACGTACCCTCAGGCCGGGCGCAGTGGCTCACTCCTGTAATCCCAGCACTTTGGGAGGCTGAGGTGGGTGGATCACGAGGTCAGGAGATGGAGACCATCCTGGCTAACATGGTGAAACCCCGTCTCTACTAAAACTAAAAATAAAACTAGCCGGGCATGGTGGCGGGCACCTGTAGTCCCAGCTACTCCGAAGGCTGAGGCAGGAGAATGGTGTGAACCCAGGAGGCGGAGCTTGCAGTGAGCCGAGATCGTGCCACAGCACTCCAGCCTGGGCGACAGAGCAAGACTTCGTCTCAAAAAAAAAAAAAAAGAAAGACCTACCTACCCTCAATTCTTCTCATTGCTTCTAGAACTGTAACTAGACTCAGGTTTCAGCAGGCTCCAGGGGTTAAAGGTTAAAGTGCAATCCATGTGAAAATGTCACATACATCAAAAGAACTACAAGATTTTTCCAATTCATAGTCACAGAAACCTGAGAAACATGTTTAGAAATGGATCTTAATGATGTTGAATCAGGGCAAGAGGAATATAATGCCGGACTAGGCCAAATATTTCAATATCGGTACAGTGGAAAGAGATCGGTACAGTATTACTTTGAGTAACTTAGAGTGATTCTAAGTTTGTTTCATTGACTAAAACCTAGACAAAAGGGTGACTTATTCCTACGGCAATTGAAATACTAGAACTTTCTTGATATGGAGGAAGGGATCCAAATGCTTAGGGGGACCAAAATGCTGGGGTAGATTTATTATGTGGGGGCTGCTTGCCTATCACTTTCTAATTATGTCCCTAGGAGGGGCCAGAAAACACTCCCTTCATGAAGGTATTGAGATATGGTATACAAACCAAAAGGGGAGCCCCAGTATCTGTAAAGAGCCTATGGTACCTAATAACTATAACCAGGAATGACATGGAAACACCTAATAACTATAACCAGGAATGACATGGAAACTGCTGCCACTTAAGTGGACTCCACAAATTCACAGGGATGGTGGGATGCCCAGGTATCAGAAGCCAACTGGAAGACACTCAATCACCAGAGATGAGGTAGTTACTGTAATGAACAGCAGAGCCAAAACATTAACCAGAATGGTTTGACCTGCAGAAGGCTGATCACAGTGTCCCTGAAACTGAAATAGATGTGTGGCCTACTCAAGTCATACTTGATTTACATAAGTTGAAAAGCTCTGGGTCTGGTGAAAGAGGTGATGATCACAATAGAGAATCATGACATCCCTAATTAATTCTGAGACTTGAGCCAGTTCTTAGTCAAATGAAAGGGGGA